CAGGGTGCGCGCGCTTGGGCGGGCAGGGAGAGGACCCCGGCCAAGGCGAGGGACTGGAGCCTGCGGGGCAACCTCGCGGGCACAGGGCCGGGGTCCGAAGGGTGGGCACGAAGTGCTTCGGGCCAAAGGTGAGTGGGGCTGCCCAGGACCCCGGGGAGGCAATGCCCGCGCCCCGGGCGGTTGCTCGGCATCACTGCTGGCTTTGTCCGCTGGGTCAGGCTGCAGCGTGCAAAGCTGGGCGCGGGCCTCACGCACCAGAAATGCATCTTTTCCACTTCCCGGGCTCTCAGAGGGTCGAGCGAAAACCCTGAAAGCCCCCTGTCCGTCCTCTGCACCAGGCTCACACACACGCACACCCAGGAGGCAGTTTGAGATTCCGACTGCGCAGCCTGAAACTGCTTCCCCTGACCCGCTGCCTTTGGCCGGCGAGGGCCTTCGTGGTTCAAGAGTGGCTCCGTGAGGCTGAGGACTGGGGGAGGGGGTCCGGAGCCTGGGTCTTCTGCCCCGGGAAAGGGGGCTGGAGGAGGACGCATGTGTGCCGCGTAGCGGGCGCGGGCCGGGGCGGTCGGGAGTCTCCCCGGATTGCCCGTTCCGTGTTTTGCTTCCTCGACACGGGTAGCCTGCAGGCGGAGGGCCGGCAGCCCCACGCAGCAGGCCCCGGGGCGGGACCTTGGGCACTGGGCTCCCTGCTCCAAATGCCAACTGCGGCCCGGCGGACCCCCTCTCTGCTGGGCGACCCCCCCGCGTCCGGGTGGGTGGGATGAGTGCCTGCGGGCTCCAGGCCCTTCATTTCTCTGCTCTTCATCCCAAGAGGCCGGGGCGGGTCGGCCGAACCACTGTCATCCCCCGGCCAGAAGGGGAACTTACGACCCAGAGTGAAAATCTTCATGGCGGACCCCAGAGGTGGCTCCCTGTGACACCCAGCAGCACTGAATGAGGAAACGCCCGTGTCCCCCTTCTTGGTCCCTACATGGGCATATGTAGCCTCTTCCAAGGGGGTCTCCAACGCCGAATTTGGCAAGGGCAAATAAGCCAGGGTCACTGGGTTTGACACGCTCAGGAGGGCTGATTACCACAGCCCGGAGTCCATCGCTGGCGATGTTGGGTGGAAAAAAACCCATACCACGGGAAAACATCCCAGCTACTCTGTTGTTCTCGCTTTCGTCCAGCAAACTTAGTGGGGCGTCCGAGTACACGTCTTAGCGTGTCGTTCAGCGTGTCGTCATTGGCAGGGAGGCAACATTCATAATTTGTCACTTGGGACTTGTGTGTGCGTTTCCGTCGTATGGCTGAGGCTGGCCAGGCTCTCGGGCCGGGCGTAGCGTGACACACATTGGCTGCAAGAAATCGCAGCCTCATCGCACATGCCTACTGTCTGTGCCGACATCAGGCCACACTTCGCCCATGAATTGTGAAGCATTTTTGCAGAAGGCAAACAGATGGCGCGACCATGCTTAATTCTGCATGTGCTGCCCTGCGAGCTGTCGGAGACGGGCAAGTGTTCACATACTAATGGATGCTAATATTAGCGCCCAGGCACGGATCTGTCGGCCTTGGCAAATACGTTCTTAGATTTCTTTGTTGGCCCTGAAGGTTGGATGGGAAACAGCACCCCCCACCCCTCATCTAATTAGATAGTCCTCCCTCCAGCAGCCTGGTGGGGGGCTCATCTTTGTTTATTTATGCTCAGACACCGCCAGCCACTCTTGACCTGGAGCCTCCTGGGGCCAGTTGCTCTTCTCTGGGTAACTGCCCGGGTACTGGAACCCTCACTTCTACTCATCTATGGCCCAGCAGCCCCTCGGAGCCATCCGTGCTCCTTTCACAGTTTACTTTTTTAGGTTAAACACTCAAATTGCCTTATTTTTCCCCTCATCTAACACATGTCCAGGCCCTCGTCTGCTCTGGACACTTTCCTGCAACCACAATTCCAGTTTTTCTCTGACCTTGTTCAATATGGTAGAGGGGAGGCGTGCTCAGAGCCGTGTCAGAGACAAGACAAATTATTTCCTTTTTGCAGTCTCCTCTATTAATGCAGCCTAAGACCACCGGCTTCTTAAACAACCTCATCACTGTAGACTGAGCACAAACTGGGAATCCAGCTTCAGCTCTCCTGCAGGCTGGTGCACACGGCACTAATGTCTCAGCTCGCCACCCAGCAGACTCCCAGCCCTCCTATGGAAGACATGAGGTCGACCACCACCTCTGTCCTGGTCCTTTCGTGTGGCTTCTGCAGGCTTGGTCTCCGGGATGGGACGGGGAACCTGCTAGAACTTACTAAGCCAGGTGGGCACACTTTCTGGCTCTCCAGGGACAGCCCTGGTGTATACCTATTGTCCTTGTAAATTAATGATGACACCTCCTTTGGCTGTCGCGTGTTTCAGCTTGGAGGCTAAGTATAAGGCCACCCTATTTTTAGAGGCATAATGGCCTGGAAGTGGCTTGGAGACAATCTCTAGGGGCCACACAACTACTCTAAAGATGGCTGGGTAGCACTTCAAGCCCAATGCCTGCAAGGGGCTGACAGGTGAGGTGGCTGCTTACAGACCATGGGTGTGCTGAGTGACTTGGGCCCAGAGGTGTTCAAATTCAAGTTTTGTAAGCACCGGGCATGCGGATGAAATGCATCCGCGGGTGGAGTTCAGTTATGGGTAGCCAGCTTGGAACAGTTGGCTCCGAATTTTTTTCTCCTCAACTACATAAATTCCTTCAGCAGGAATTCTTTAAAAATATATTCCAGCTTTATTGATACACAGGGATTCTTAATCTTATTTGGGTCACAGACCCTTTTGAGAGTCTAGCAAAAGCTATGATTTCTACTTCCAGAAAACTGTGTCTTTGCGGATGCAAATATAATTTTCTTTTTTCTTCTTCGTCTTCTCTTGTTTTCTTTTTCAAACAGTCTTTTGCCCAGACTGGGGTGCAGTGGAGCCATCATAGCTCGTTGTAGCCTTGAATTCCTGGGCTCAAGCATCCTCCCTCCTCAGCCTCCCGAGTAGCTAGAACTACAGGTTTGCAACACCACACCCGGCTTCTTTCTTTCTTTCTTTCTTTCTTTCTTTCTTTCTTTCTTTCTTTCTTTCTTTCTTTCCTTCCTTCCTTCTTTCTTTCTTTCTCTCTTTCTTTCCTTCCTTTTCCTTCTTTCCTTCCTACCTTCCTTTCTTTCTTTTTCTGTAGAGACAGGGTGTTGCTGGTCTGGAACTCTTGTCCTTAAGGCATGCTTCCACTTCCACCTCCCCAAGTGCTGAGATTACAGACAGAAACCACTGCATCTGACTGGAAAACACAATTTTTAATACCTTACCTGGAAACGTGAGAAAGGGGCTGCCATCACCTTACATGCTGTTTCCTCCTGGGGGCAGACCCTAGCTGCTTACCCCCGAAGATGCTCTGCTCACAACTTGTGATGCTGATGCCAGGGGTGTTTTCCTAGGGGCTTTGGGCTCACTCTTATGAGATGAGCCTATTCCTGTGTGCAGCAGTTAGGATCAGAGGCTTCTATAGGTCCTCAGACCAGTTTTCTGGATGAAGGGGGTATGCTATTGGACCAGGCATGTTATTTTCTATTAAAATGACTGAGCTGATTAAAAACACTTAAAAAAACTGAATACAAAGAACAGCAAATGGGACAGAGAATGCTTGCTTATAGGGCGACCAGGGCAAGTTATAAAACTGGGCTGCATTTTTTAGAGCTAACACAGGTTTGGGCTCGTAGCAGCCTGACTCTCATTTTGCCTACCTCGGTCTTCCTGTGGTGCCCCATTCTGAGATCTCTCTTCCTTTCACGGGTACACCTTATAAGGTCGTCATCTTGATATCCTTAACCAATTATATCTGCCAAGACCCCGTTTCCAAGTAGGCTCACGTTATAGGTTCCTAGTGAATATGAACTTTGGGGGCCGTTATTCCACCGATGACACCAGGAGGCAGGGAGCACACAGGACAGATGGCTTGCCTTCTTACTAAGACATGAGGAGGCCAGGCGCGGTGGCTCACGCCTGTAATGCCAGCACTTTGGGAGGCCAAGGTGAGATGATTGCCTGAGCCTGTGGGTTCGAGACCAGCCCAGGCAACCTGGTGAGATCTCATCTCTACAATAAATCAAGAAAAATGAGCTGGGCATGGTGGCACATGCCTGTAGTTCCATGTACTTGGAAGGGTGAGGCAGAAGGATCACCTGAGCCCAGCAGGTCCAGGCTGCAGTAGCCGTGAGTGTGCCACTGCACTCCAGCCTAGGTGACAGAGTGAGACTCCAACTAAAAAGAAAAAGACATGAAGGCTAACAGAGCAATGTCATTTTTGCGAGGGACTAGTTCACATCGCAATGCCCTTGATCAGCCATGGTCTCGAGCGTCAGTATTGGCCATGGGCAGCCTGAATTCCTTTTCCTGCACGACAGGGAATGCAATACACATTAAATACTGTAATACCACCAAGTTGCCCAGCCAAGGCAAGAGCAGAGAGTTATTTTTTCCATCTCTGATTTTTCCATTTGATACATTAAAGAGTACAGTGCGACACTGAAACTGATTTCAATTTTCATTCTTTCAGGTGGAATAAGTGGAAATAAACTCAAGCTGATGCTTCAAAAACGAGAAGGTAAATATACCCCAAATGGATAAGAGATGTATTCTTGACTGGGTGGAAATGAAATGGCTAGATGGCATGTGCTGACTGGAGGCTTGGATGCGGAGAATCCAAAGTGTTTACTTCTTGAAGGTTAGCAGATATGAAGGGCTTACTCTGTGGGCGTGGTATTTTATGCTAGTAAATGTTTGGAGGTTGTTTTTCTGAAGGCTGTCAGTGTAGACTCAAAAAATAGAAGACACGGTGCTATAGTATTAACTGAATGCTGTTTGTTTTAGCACCGTGAAATACTTTAGAGCACGTGTCTAGATGTAGAGTGTAACATTCAGAGCATATAAGACCTCAGCTGGTGCCATGGGCATGGGGTGGCATGGTTGTGGCACTCTGTATATCTGACTGGGGCAGAGCCTTGAAACAGGAAAACTTTTTTTTTTTGAGTTGAAGTAACTCTATCGCCCAGACTGGAGTGCAGTGGTCGCTCCCGGCCACCGCAGCCTCAACCTGCTGGGCTCTGGAGATCCTTCCGCCTCAGCCTTCCAAGTAGCTGGAACTATAGGCGCGCGCTACCACGCCCGGCTCATTTTTTAAAAATTTATTGTTGACATGAGGTCTCGTCAAGTTGCCCAGGCGGGTCTCAAATCCACAGGCTCAGGCCATCCACTCACCTCAGCCTCCCAAAGGGCGGGATTACAGGCTGAGCCACCGAGCCCGGCTAGGAAAACTTTTTTATGACTAACCTCCGTTGTGAAAAACACTCTAAGATAAATGTGGCAGACAGCCGCAAAACGCCATGGAGACTCAACAGCCAGGAAATCACAGAACACGGTTCTGGGCCCACAGATTAGTTGGATCAATCGTGTGGGTTTGTGAATGTCATTTTCCCTCTCCCAACTTTCACCTTTCTCTGTCAAATTAAGCTCTTCTAGGAATGAAAAAGCAGGACCACATTTCCTACGTGACCATTTAGCTAATTATTTTTCCATACGCGTACTCACCAGGCCTGACCCTGCTGAGCTTCTGAGATGCCTGTAGTTCCACGCACTTGGAAGGGTGAGGCGGAAGGATCACCTGAGCCCAGCAGGTCCAGGCTGCAGTAGCCGTGAGCGTGCCACTGCACTCCAGCCTAGGTGACAGAGTGAGACTCCAACTCAAAAAGAAAAAAAGACCCCATCGGGTGCATCCGGGGAGGTATGGCCAGAGACATGGCCACTGATTCTTTCTTCTCCTAGTTCATGGGAGAGTCTGGCAGTCTGGAGTCAGCTCCCCAAAGTGGGATCCTCAGTCACTTCTCCCCGTACTTCCCAGAAGCCCCCTGGGGATCCTCCCACTGGTGGCTGGAACACAGGTGGCCCCTCTCACGGGCAGGGAGTCCCCGGGGGAGCTCCCGGCATCTTTTCCAGCACGTCCAGCCCTCGTGAGACCCTGGTCTCTCCCCAGTCTCTGAGGCGGCTTGGAGGGGCTCCTCCCTGTGCTGCGTGACTGAGAGAGCGTGACCTTATGGATGCCTGGGGCAAGTGACACTCTCCCAGGGCCTGCCCGTCATGGGTGAGCAACCTGCAGAGCTTATCATGGCTCCGAGGTGTGCATCCCCCAGCCTTGACTCAGTCCAAACCAAGAAACACACGTTGAGCACGAGCACCTACTGTATGCACAACCGTGCCATAGGCCCTGAAAGGTTTGTCAAAAAAAAAAAAGCCCTGCTGAATTAATCATATGACTGATGAGCAGATCAAGCACTTGACTTCCATCATCTTGTACATTCTTCATAACACCGAGAGAGGGCTGGTTGGGCTGGTTTTATAGACAAGGGGGACCAAGCCCGTGTACGAGGTCCAGGGCAAAAGCCCGGTGGCACAATGGTTTCCGCTGAGCACAGCCTACAGAAGTGATTCCGTTCCAACAGCTGAGACTTCGATGGAAAGGCGTTAGAGCAGGCACTGTCAAAGCAAGGGGCAGCGCCCTTCAGGACCCACGTGAACCATCAGGGATCTCATCGTGAGGCCCAGAGATGGTGGCTGGAGGGGCGCTGTGTGTCCCAGCAGACCAAGCTGAGAACTTGGCTCCCCGCTGCTAGGTGGGGTCTGGCCCCTGTCCACTCGGCCCCATCATTCCAGATCTTCTGTCTCACGTAGACCCTTAAGCGAGCACAGCCCTCTGTCTGCATACACGATGCACATGCACCGTGCGGCACTGCCTATCCAGCTGCTGCCTGAATGCAAAGCCTGGGGGATGAGCCCCGGGCTCTGGGTGTGGCAGTCAGGCTGCAGGGAAGTAGCTGCGTGTTGTTTCTGCCCTGAGAACCTCGAAGCGGAAGGTTAGACTGTGCCCTCGACTAGCAAGAAGCACGCAAGCGGATGTCTGCGGGGATGGGGCTGAGAGTCAGAACTCTCCTGTATCTGGGGCTGTCTGCGTGTGCGTGTGCAATAGTGAGGTGCCCTCATAAGAAAATTAATAACCACTCTTCTTGGGGTGGGGAATGGCTCATGTCAGCACCTGCTCCCACCGAGGCCAAAGTGGCTGTGGATGAGAACAAAGCCAAGGAGTTCCTTGGCAGCCTGCGTCGCCAGAAGCGTCAGCTGTGGGACCGGACCCGCCCGGAGGTACAGCAGTGGTACCAGCAGTTCCTCTACATGGGCTTCGACGAGGCGGTGAGTGCTCCCTCCTGCTAGAGGCCTGGCTTCCCGTGGGGCAGCGTGGCATGGCGAGGCGCGGCGTGGTTGGCGGGGTGGAGGCCTGGCTCAGGGAGACGGGATGCAGAAAACGGGGCTCTGCTGTTTGTTCCTGAATTGGGAGCCCCGTTGTATGTCAAGTGCCACGTGGCATGGGGCTAGATCACCAACAGTATGAGGACATCGGCCGAGCGTTTTCCACCTGGGCAGGTTTGAGCGGCAGAACCCAGAACTGTCACGGGCCCAGATGTCTGGGACTCAGATTAACCAAGAATCTGAACCCGTTTGAGTTAGCTAGATGGTTTTTTCCTGGACATTCTTAAAATAACTCGCAGTCCCCCCAAGACCTTTTCAGTTTTACCTCGAAGAATGTTGGAAACGGCGTCGATGCAAAGGATCTATGGGGACCATGGAAAGATGACACGTCACTTTTAAAGAGAGACAGGTCTCTGTAAATGTTTCAGGGAAAACTTGTCAATGCACTCTTGGGAAAAGATGGTTGCAGTTCGTGTGCCCAGATGGCCTCCCTGGACCCATTCAGCAATGTGGGCATACTCACCAACTCCCAACTGGGGTGCAGGTGCAGGTAGGAGCGGCCAAGGCAACGCCTAGGTCTTTCCCACGGGAGCCTCTGCAGAGTGACTGGTGAGGTCAGGCTCGCTGTGAGAGATTTAGCAGAGAGAACCAGCAGCTACCCACACCAGCCAGGGAGCAGATGGGCTTTTCACGGCAGCGCCTCCAGCAGGGCTGCTAGAGGTGTCTTTCTAAGTGGGCATGAGATTCCCATGGAAGACGAATACCAAACACTGCAGCAGGTGAAAAATATGAAGTCTTTTAGGCTGCGTCGCTTTTCATGGCTGCATATAAATCATGGAGCTGTCCTAACTTCCTTTCCGCTCCCAACCATTGGATATATCAGTTGCTCCCTAAGTGTCTTTTTGCTACTCAGATATAATCTTTTTTTTTTCCTGTGCTCAACACTGATAGCCAAATTGTGTGCCAGGCATGCTTCTAAGTGGGTTTGTGAATGAAGCTACTTCACATTCGCGACAACCCAAAACACCGGCACCGTTATTTGCAACTCTGTGTGTAGTCTGTCTCTTACTGAGAACCACATTCTGCCCAGGGAACTTACCGAGGCAAAGGCAGAATGATGTTTAAGCACCTTGACGTACTGTCAAATTGCACACTCCCGTAAGTCACGCGCGAGGGCACCAGTTTTCTAGAATCTTCAGCAGCGTCTGATGTTCTCGCTGAAATTAAAACATGTACATTCACTTATTCGATAGATGAAAATGCTGTATCATCCTGTAGTAATTTGCATTTCTTTGATGACCATCGTTGCGATGAGTATGAAGAGTGTCACGTGGGGAAATGATGTCTGGTGACCAAGCCAGGATAGAGATGACGACCAAACAGGATCGTCATCATGAAATATACATCAAAAGACACCAGGGAAATGCATCCCCCTGTCACTAGCGATGGTCCCTTTTTCTGTGTTCTCTTCTCATGCACAGATTTTTAAAATCTGCGTCTCCGTTATTTCTGTATTCATCAAGCATTTCAAAAATTTGCTGAAAATACATATTTAAGCCAAAACCTAAGTAGGCTTGTAAGCTAAGAAAACCCAAGGAACAGGATTATTTCATGATGGCCAAAAAGGAAGTAGTGCCATGAGAGAAGCAAGGGTGGAAATGGGGGAAGGGAGTCAGTGTCCTCCTTCCCTGGGCAGGGGCTGAGGCGGGCTCAGAAGCTGGTAGAGCTCCAGGGGTGGCAGACAGGCTGGGGAATTCGAGTCATGGCGGGAGCTGTCTGCTCCTCACATCAATATACTGCCACTGGGCCACAGAGACCCAGGCACAGGCCAGGCTGGGGCTCCAGCCTCACGATGTTGTCAGATAGCAGGGCTCATGGGCGGTCTTGTTAAAATAAAATAGGCTGCTAGGATCCAACCCCCAGAAAATAACACCCGGGAGGTACGGGGTGAGGGGTACCTGGTAATCAGCATTTGTGATTCGGATGTGGGGTGTCTGGCCACGTGCGGAGGAAAACTGGTCCCGCACCCCAAACTGCTCAACCTGCTCACCACTTCCCAGGCCATCTGTGTCGGCTCCCCACTTTTTCTGATCTCACACTCAATCTCTCACCATGTCCCGAGCATCAACATGTGCGCGCCCCAATCTACATCCATCTTGTACCTTCACTGTCACCCAAGAAAAACTAGTCTTTCCTTCAAAAATCAGATTACAGCCGGGCCCGGTGGCTCAGCCTGTCATCCCAGCACTTTGGGAGGCTGGGACAAGTGGATTGCCTGAGCCCGCAGGTTCGAGACCAGCCCGGTCAATTGGAGAGCCCTCCTCTCTATAATAAATCAAAAATTAGCCCGGCATGGTAGTGTGCATCTGTAGTTCCTGCTACTTGGAAGGCTGAGGTGGAAGGATTGCCAGGGCCCAGAAGGTCGACGCTGGGGTGGCCATGAGCGTGCCACTGTACTCCAGCCTGGGCAACAGAGCGAGACTCTGACTCAAAAAAAAAAAAAAAAACCCCAACGAAAAACCCCAGATTACTGGCAAAGCCCAGCTGCTACAGTGGAAAATCTGGATATCATGATACACTTCTTACTCAGCTCCAGTTCTACTACCTCCCTTTTATTAACTGAAACTATATCCTTGTGCATCCACCTCTCAGGAACTGCAGGCTTCTTGAAAGCAGGTTTTGTTTGGGGCGGAGCCCTCCAGCACCCAGCCAAAGGCCTGACATGCGTGCCCATTTTCCAGCGTGTGGAACGAATGAATGCACCTGTGTTGGCGAACCAACACAGATGTAAAGGCGTCCCCGTCAGAAGCATCATGATGCTCTGCCCTGAAGCTGTCATGTGACTGTGCCGTGGTTGATCTCACTCAGCCAGCGTTTACAAGACAAGACACCTCTATGTGCAAGACAGAGGGCCAGGCACAGGAGTGGGATGGGAAGCCAGACAGTGTCTGCCACAGTGACACGTGGCCTGAGGCACAGTCCAGGCTTTCACTGTCTGTGGCCCATGTCAGTGTTATTTACCGAGACAGAGGAAAACGGATAAGTCTGGGGTGTTCTTAGCAAATATCTGGCAAAAGTCTGCAAAGCTATCGGCGTGTGCCTCTTTGGGGGAAAACAAACAGCTCTGTCGGCAGTATTTTTCAACTGTTTGTGTTGACCTCTGAGCACACGAATACTGTAACAGCCGTTATTCTTAGCAAGGGCTGTTGGTCATCGCTGTAGGTAAGATGGCCTTATGGGAATGTGTCCTTAAATCCTTTCTCTCTGTTTCTTCCAGAAATTTGAAGACGATGTTGCCTATTGGCTGAACAGAGACCGAAATGGACACGAGTACTACGGCGACTACTATCAGCGTCACTATGATGAAGACGCTGCCATCGGTCCCCGGAGCCCCCACAGCTTTCGGCATGGCGCCAGTGTCAACTACGACGATTACTAACGGTGACTTGCCACCCGCATCCACGAAGCCCACAGGGGTTCTCGCCATGTGTCTCCTGATACCTTACACAACCCGAGTTCTGCCTTGCTTAGTTCAGCGGATCTTTTCTACCTACTTTTTGCGACCAGAAAGGAAGAGTTGAAACAAGTTATATAAACGCCTTTCGATATTGCATGCAAGTACCTGATGATGCGTCTCATTTAAAAAATAGAAATAAAGCATTTTGTTAAAAATGAAGTCTCAGAATTCCTTTGTGTGCAAATCATGCCGTTGGCATTTCTCGTTCCCTTGCTGTTGTGAAGTTGCATTCGAGAGACAGCTCTCAGTTTTCATCCCAAGAAGGACCATGAGGTGGAGCGAGAGGTCTTCAGTCTGTTAATGTGCAGCTGCACTGAATGCAAGACAAAGTCGGCAAGAGAGTCTAGTTGAAAATGACTCAGGGTTAAGGAACATAGTTTGGAGCATTTCGGTCACTCGACAGAGGTTTGAGGGTGCCAGAGACCTGCTCCAGCTGGGTTCAGGGTACCCCAAAGGTGGAGATGGCGTCGGCGATTGGGGGGGAAGAAGAGAGAAAGAGATAGAGAAAGAAAGAGACTGGACTCTGGGCTAGTGCAAAAGCGATATGTGTTATTGGGAATTACAACGGGTCTTTTATACACAAAGTGAGATGTGGGAGGGGCATCCCCCACCCACCAGAAACCTTAATCCATGAAAACTTAATCA